TTATTTCCTTGTTTTTCTAAAGGATTGAAGGTCAAATTGTCTTTGAACATAAGCAACAAAAGGGTTGCCACCTTTGAATTGAAGTTCCTCTCTTTTGAAAAAGTCCGTTAAAAGTACAGTTTATTCAGATATAAGTTTTACTTTTATTGGGATCCATTCTTGGTCAATTGGATGGATGGATGGACTGTGGCCTGAGAGAAAAAGTGGTTCTCAAAGGAGACGTTCACTCGTATCACCTCCTTACTTTTTCTTACTTGTGTGAGCAGACACACGTTCCTTATGGACCTGCCCATTTGTAATAGAGATAATAGTGATTTTAAAAATGCAGAAAGAGCTGCCTGCCTGAGGAAGAGGGATCAGGAAGCATCTTTCCTCACCTTTCCTTACCACATACTTGGGCCATTAAAGCATATATGAGTCTGCTACTTCAACATTTATTAACAATGAGGCAGGCGGTGCACCATGGCCTCTCCCAATTTGAAGAGACCCTTGTCCAGCAGGCTGAGGCAAAGAGGAAGTCACAAAAGCAGCAAAACCAGGGAGCTGGATAGGGGACAGATTGGATTTGTCTCCAGTGTGGAAGGGATTGTCACTCTCGAATTGGCCTCCTCAGCCACACTAGATGCTGTTCCAAGTCCTCCATAAAGAGTACGTTACGATAGTTTTTCGAGACTGAAGGATGCCTAATGAATGTGGAGGACTACACTGTGTGTGGATGTGGCACAAAGATCAATGGGTTTTTTTACAATCGTAAATTTAAAGCATCCTTAAAAGTGTCTATTATAGCTGAGACTTCATTCATTGGCTAAATATACTGAAATACAGTTGTGTAGCTCCTTTCTTAGAAAAGAACTGGGCAGAACATTCTGTACATTCTGTATAAGAACTCTTGTGAAAGCTAGCGACTTGGTTTTATTTTTGTAATTTAATGAAATTTGGAAATCCAGGCTATCTGGTGGTATAAAGAGATCCTGAGTAGCATGCAATAAGAACGAGAAACATGACCAACTGGGAATTCTGTTAATTATGTTGAACCCCTCCCGCCACAAGGTGCCTTCACCTTAATTCTGATACGTTACCTCTGTGTTTTTTAGAACAGTGGTCTCCATCCTTGGGCCTCTGGATATTCTTGAACTACAATTCCCAGAAGCCTTCACCACCAACTCTGCTGGCCAGGATTTCTGGGAGTTGAAGTCCAAGAACATCTGGAGGCCCAAGGTTTTGGGGACCACTGTTTTAGAATGATAATCCAAGTACTGAACGTGGAGAAATATAAACATCAAGTCTCCATGCCGAAATTAAGGTCCCATTGTCAGAACAGGGCAACGTCCATGTTAAAAGAAGGCCTTTTCCTTTCTCTCTTCTTCTTGAAAGCGGGACCAAAAAAGCGAGGATATCTCTGATCAGTCGGGGGAATTGGAGCATACGATCTTGGGATGTAGCCTTGATTGTTCCATTAATTGAAGCACATAACCATAGCCAACACGTCTTTGCAATGCACTGCTTTGCTACAAAGAGGTGTTTGTTGTAGGTATGGGAATATAAATAGACAAACCTAGCCCCATGGCACGTAGGCTAGGAAATACCAAAGCAGAAATGCTTTCCTTGTTCCACATCAGAAGTTATACAAGTACAGCAGCTTCCGTAGCGTTGTTTTGCTTATGAATGGCCTCAGTTTACAAAGGACTGTAGCCATGGCAATTGTTGCTGTATCATGCCTGTACGTCTAATTAGGATAGAACATACTTAATTTACTTTTTTCCCCTGCCATGTTGAAGCTCATTTCTTTCTTTCTTTCTTTCTTTCTTTCTTTCTTTCTTTCTTTCTTTCTTTCTTTCTTTCTTTCTTTCTTTCTTTTTTCATAGACATTGCTCTAATTTTTGTAGGAAGGGGATACACATCAAAAGCTCAGGCCACAAAGGAAACAACACTTAAATTACAGTCCTCACAGATCAGTTTGGTTTGCAGAAAACGATCAGACCTTTGTTCTCAACTCTGCCTTCTTTCAAAAGAAGGGGTGTGTAAAAGTTGGAGACTCGCGTGTGGTAGCTCATGGATAGATCAATTTAGGTACCCTGGTATGCAGATACAAGGGCATATCAGGACTGAACACATCCGTTAAAATATTTCCCCAGAAAACTGTAGGTGTTATGGGATGGTAGTTGCTGTTGCCTCTTCAGGATGAAGAGAAATATATCAATAAATCTATTTTTCACTGTGTGATTTTAAATTTGCAATAGTGGGATTTGTTTTGTGGGGCTCATGGTGCATTTAGTGCAGCCATGTCAAGCAAGAAAACCAGGACGATTGTGCAAATCTGCAGCTGAAGCCAGTTGTGGGCGATGATGGTGGCTGGTGCTTTGTGTTGATACTTGAGGGAATTTGAGGGACCCACCCTCTTAGATAGGTTGTTTCCGCTGCCTTTATGGCAGAGAAAGGGCAGAGGCGGGGATTGGCATGTCTAGCAGTCTGTCAAATTCCCGTCAGAGTTGAGTTGATTTAGGGACATCTTTATTGGTGACTCATCCATTATGCTTCACCAATTCTCTTCCTCCTGCAAGCTGTGTGTAGCATGACCCTGTGTAGGATGTATCCTTCCCAATACTTGAAAGAGGAACAGGAGGTTGGAACTGTTTTCATTTCCTGAATTATTCCTTGAAGAAGCTTATATGTCTCGGTTGACTTGAGGCTGCTCAAGTTATAATTGTTGGGTCTTCTTACATAACATGTGCACAGTGGAAAAATGTCATGAAAGCAGATAGTCCTAAGTAATAAAAAGAAGGGATGCTATGTTTGTGGGACTATAACATCAGTTTTTCCATGCTATCCTTCAATATATGTATTCTCTGATCAGCTTATTAAAATAAAAGAGATAAAAGAGAGGCTGGCGATATTGGTGTTAGTTGTGTCATAAGAGATCCCTCATAGAATAACACCATCTGGAAGTGTGTGCCCGGCCAGGCTTTATGGGATATCTGGACAGATGTTATTTCCATTATATTAGTTGCTTCCTATTGTTGTCACTTTGCTTGGAACTTTTCCAGATAACATCTCTTCTACATGAGGAGAGGCACAGTAGTTAGGATTAGGCATCCTTCAGTCTCGAGAGACTATGGTAATGTGCTCTGTATGGAGGACTTGGAACAGCGTCTAGTGTGGCTGAGAAGGCCAGTTCGAGAGTGACAATCTCTTCCACACTGAGGAAAAATACAATCTGTCCCCTGTCCAGTTCCCTGATTTGGCGGCTTTCCTGACTGCCTCTTTGCCTCGGCCTGCTGCACAAGGGTCTCTTCAAATTGGGAGAGGCCGTGATGAACCGCCTGCCTCCAGGGTGAATGCTCAGAGGTCAAGGTTTCCCATCTGTTGAGGTCCATTCCTAAGGCCTTCAGATCCCACTTGCAGATATCCTTGTATCGCAGCTGTGGTCTCCCTCTGGGGCGATCTCCCTGCACTAATTCTCCATACAGGAGATCTTTTGGAATCCGACCATCAGCCATTCTTACAACATGGCCAAGCCAACGTAGACATTGCTGTTTCACTGTTGCACCCATTATAGACTACATTCCTCTTGGTGAAAAGGTGCAGTGATTTCTCCATGATGCTGCAGCCAGAAACAGAGGAAACTCAGGAGAAAAAACAGTCTTGACATATAGTGTGATTGCAGTAGTATTTAGTTGCGGAAGATTTTTCTCTCAGCTATCATAGGCACCATGTATTGACAGTCATTTTATTGAGAGTCACATGGATTAAGAAGTAACATTGCCAGCTTCTGCATGTGCAAGGTACTATGTGGCTATATTTCAAGCTTAAGGGAACGAGTTATGTAGAAGACAAAGTTTCCAAATTCACAGTTCTCACCCCATCTTTCTTGGCCCTTGTGGTATTTTGTGCAAAAGTACTTACACTTCTATCATGTGGTGGTGCAAAAAGTGAAGAATATGTTTGAAAGAGGCAAAAATGTTTATGGGTGAATAGTTTTGTGTTTCCTAAGTAACATATTTCCTCCTGGTAAGATCCGATTCCTGTGTTTCCTAGCTAGGCCTTTGATACCTGCAAAGATTTTGACAAAATGTTGACATTGTTTTGCGACATAATATCAGGGCCTAGCTTGACATCTCTAGCCACCATTGATAGTGCTTGTCAGCCTCTGGGAGTCAGAAGTTTTATTTTTTTGGCTTAACAATTTTTTTGTGAGGGGTGGGTGGGTTTAAGATTGAGTGTGTGAACACCAAATGTTCAGTATCATAGGAGCTATTTGAGAGTGATTGCCTGTATATGTTATCAGTGTCATGCTGAAGTATACAATGGCTAGTGGCATATGGTGATTGCCATCCATCCCTTTCTAATCACCCTTGATGAGCCAGAAGCTTGTTATTGTTATTTTATGCGCTGCAGGAAAGATAAAAGTCGAAAGATTCCATTACCCACATTAATGTTATCTCCAGGGTCTATTTAGATACACACATTATCAGTGTGTTTCAGAATGCGGTCAGGTTAGCAGTGATATTTCATTCATTCTGCCAGTCTCCTAATCTTCCTCCAAAATGTTAGTTGCCTGAAATATTATACCATTTCGCTTTGTGGCCTTGGGCAAGCTGCACAGTTTGTGCTCCCAGAAGAAAGGGAATTATAAACCTGAGTACTCTTTGCCTGGAAAACCCTGTAAAAGTGTTGCCATCAATCAGAATTGACTTGATGGCACACAATTGTTATTTTTTACTACTTTAACACTGTTCACTTCCTCAAGTATATTTGTTCACTGTGTATTCTCACTGAGCCACAATGAGTCCAGTTCATAGCATAACAATTTTTATGTAGTGGGAGTTCCAGAAATAACTCTTCAGGGCTTCTGGTTTGTAACTGGTGAGATCATCATCATCATCGTCTTAGAAGAGCAGAGCTGGAAAGGACCCTACGGATCATTTGAGTCCAGTCCCTGTCAACAAGTTTATTTTAGCTGTTGCACTTAAGCTTTCTAACTGGTTTTTCTCTCATTGCAGGGCTACCAAGGCATGGTTGATGGAGGTGAAAATATTGTGGAAGTTACATGGGAAAGTGTTTCGAGCATCCTCCAAGTGGTACGTTCTGGATTAAGAATAATTTGTGTGCAAGGTTTAATGCATTCGTTGTTTCTAAAGCATCCCTCAAAGGTTGATTAAGCAGTGTGTTTTGCACTGAACAAGAATTATGCCTAAGTTCTACACATTTTTCTTTGGGAGAAAATCCCATATATACAGGCTTAAGATTCTGGTCTCCTGTTGCTCTCCAGCATTTGTGGTGTGCATATTGCTTTGCAGCCCATGTTAGGACAGTATTCTCTTTCCCACCACCCCCATCTGCACTTCGAGGAGAGAAATGAAATCTTATCTACAGTGGCGCCTCGCTTTACAATTGCCCCGCATTACAACGAAACTGCATTACGACGATCTTTTTGCAATCGCAAAACGATGGTCTGAATAGGTTTTTTTTGCGATGATCGGTTCCCTGCTTCGGGAACCGATTCTTCGCAAAACGACGATTTTCCTCCAGCTGATCGGCGGTTTCAAAATGGCCACTGGGTAAATAAAATGGCTCCCCACTGTTTTCTGGTACGGATTCCTCCATGGCTGCCCTATGGAGGATCTTCGCTGGACGGTGAGTTTCCAGCCCATTGGAATGCATTGAAGGGGTTTCAATGCGTTTCAATGGGCTTTTTATTTTTGCATTACGTTTTCGTTCTACAGCGATTTCACTGGAACGAATTAACGTCGTAATGCGAGGCACCACTGTATGCACAATGTGGCTGCTGATGCTTAGGAGCTGTACATCCTTTCTTTTTACTCCCCTGGTTTCCCTCGCTTGGTAAAAGTTACTGTACAGTTTTTACATTGGCTGCTTGTAAACTGCTTTCATATTGGTGTGAGCTTTGATTTTGTTGGAAGCAAATTCCATTTCTTTCTTCTGCCTTCATTGATTATTCCCAGCCTGCTCTGACTTGTATCACATATAGATGTTACAGTGCCAAGGAAGGCCTTTGAACAAGGAAGAACCCTGCTGCCTTAGTATGTTGCGATAGTTCTGAGGGCAGAATTTGGGAATTGCTCTATTTCTTTTTCCTTTATTTTTTAAAGAGGACTTTACCCTATAATCAACACCTAGCACATTTTCATCAAACATCATTATACAACCGTTTTCTCTTATGCCGACATGCCTGGAGCATTCAGAAAACTTTCATTTGCTGCTCCTGATCAGTGACAGAATTTCAGTCAAGAACAATACCTGTGGTTAAATATTCAACATATTGAAGGTTTTTCTCAATGGAGGGGGAAAAACCAGTTAGACTCTCTTTTCCTAAGCTTCAGCTGACACACTGATTCTTCCTGACTTCCAAGTTTATGGTGTTTGCATATACAATATCAAGGGTGTGGAGGAAGAGAAGACCTAGTTCTGGAGAAAATCAGTCAGTAGAAAGGTGAAGCTCAACCAGTGAATTCCGCTCTTGGTTAAAGTCCTACAGTGTCGTATATAATAGTGAATGTGTTACTTATTGAGACGTTGCCCCTCATGTTGTTCATTTGTCGGTAGCAATCTATTTATTGTCGCACCCATTATCTGTAAATCAAGTTTATATGTAACTGATTGCCAGCCTTTAATTTCTGGTCACCATTAGTAACCAGATGACAGTGAACCTTGTGCCCTGTGCATAAACCAAGTCAATAAAATGAAAAGCCTTTAAGTATAAAATCATCTGTCTTTTCAATCGTATGCTGGTAGTCAGAAGTGATCTTCTCGCCTGGAATCCCGGCGCTGAAGATGCCGTGCTTGGGTCTGTCCCCTTGTATTCCCACAAAAATCATGAAGACTTGGGGGCAGGGGAGAGAAAGGGAAAAGACTGTTCCAGTGCCCTAGAGATTTGACTTTCACTCTGCACAGCCCAAGTCTCACAATCCTGCACTCACTGAATAATCTTATATTGGTGGGACATCATCTTCTCATTTGTTGATAAGCCCTTTAGAGGTGGGAAACAAACTTCCTCCCCCCCCTCACAGCCCCACTGCCTGTTAGTAGCAATCTTGCTTGTTGCTGACATGGTTAAGTGTGTGTCAAACTTAACACTGACCATGCATGGTAGGGAGGGCTCGTCCTTCACCTCCTGGGCTGCAGTTGCCTTAACATGGCCCTCAGACGTGAAAGAGTTAAAGCATTCCTTGTTGTTCTCTCTCACCCAAGTTCTTTCTTCTTCCTGCCTGAGACCTCATTGACCACAATTTTGGTACATTATGAGCAACTGACTACAAGCTTGAGATGCCTCCTGCCCTTCCCTGCCTTGTCAGGCTTCCTGGGTGGAGAGGAAGCCATGTCTGTTGCTATGGCAATGGAGCAGAGCCCAACTGATATCTCGTTCTCCTCCTTTGCCAGCTTTGGTTTCCCTTTCAGAGAAGGGCCGGTAGCCTCGTCCCTCTGCCCTTTTGGGGTCACCAGAGTTAACCTTTCTCTGATAATTGTGTCGGGTGTCTTTCAATCCATGACCTGCTTAATTGGCCACTAAAATAACATGAGAAATGATTGCGTAACAATGGCTGCGGTGCTGCTGGGTGGCTGCACATGCATAATGTGAAGCTGTGGAAGTGGTAGGGGAAAATAAAACGGCAGGACGGAAGGAATATCCACGAAGCACTTTTGCAGGCGTGTTGCGCAACCGTCCCAATGTGAATCACACAACTGCAGCGTGAAATGTGCAGTTGATGGTGCAGTGGTGGTTTGCCTGAGCATAAGGCCTGGCACGCTGCTGCAAATGACATTATGCCAACTTGAACAGGATTTTAATCAATGCATCTTTTGCGGAGCTGATAAGTGTGCATATTAGCAAAAGGATTCTTGGCTTTATACTTGCTAGGCAATGAGAAATGTATGTATCGGTTCTTACTGTATCCAAATAGTGTTGATAGTGACATGAAGTTACAGGCAGTAACCAACCCTTTGTGCTTTCCTGACAGCATCTATAGTCACATGCTACGAATGTCTGGTGACTCACAGCGGGACTGGTTGTTCGTTAGGTAAATGGAGAACTTGGTATACTTAGCTTTTGCCTGATCCGGGTGGAACCCGTTTCTTTCCTTTCGTCTTGCAGGGAGGGACCGTGATTGGCAGCGCCCGCTGCAAAGCTTTTCGGACCCGGGAGGGTCGCTTGAAGGCAGCCTGCAACTTGGTTAAGTGTGGAATCACTAACCTTTGTGTGATTGGTGGAGATGGGAGCTTGACAGGCGCTAATCTCTTCCGCGCGGAGTGGAGCGGACTGTTGGAGGAGCTGGCAAAGAATGGTAAGTCGCCCCGTACATTTCAGTTGCCTTCTCCTTTCAATCCCTCTGTTAAGACTTGATGGAACCAGTTCTAGGGTTAGCAAGCTGCCAGCATTGCTTTTTGTTTTCTTGAAAACAAAAATGATGCCATGGATGTTCAGTCGTCCAGAACCAGGTACACATATGGCTGCTGTGCTGTTTAATGCACTTTCACAGAAGCTGATTGTGGCTAAGTGGCCAGCTTCCTAGAACACACTTTTGCTTCCAAAGTGATGTGCCATTTTTGTGGCCATTTTCGATAGCTCTGAAATATTAGGTTACAAAATAGTAGTGGTTGGAGAGAGAACAGGAGGGAGAGGACAGGAGCGCCTCTGCTTGCGAATACAAGCGACCGACTTGGTTTGGAGGAAAGTGTGGTTTACTGTTTTAACAAATAAGGGCTTACAGAACTAATAGGGAGTGCTGTACAAACCCTGACATTATTCTAGTTTTTACAAGGGAGCTGCAGAAATGTGGGTGCTCAGATCCAAAGTGGTTGCTGTTGTCAAATTAATCGTGCAACTTGTCGGTTGAAAACATCTGTCTGTAGGACTGATATCTTTGAGCCAGATGTACTGTGTCCATTCTGCTCTGTAAATAAATCCCGTGGAACTGTAGGACCACAATATAAGAGGCCTGCTTGGAGACACCAGAAGGCCATCTTGTCCTGCATTCTGCTGCCACAGAGGTCAACCAGGTGCCTATGGGAAGTCCAGGCAGAAGATGAGTGCAACACATTAAGAGACATGATAGTTTTGTCTATAATTTCGTTACCCAGCAGATAGCATGGTTGTGGACATGTGAGGTTGCCACACTGTCTCCTTTGAAGGAGAACAGTTATCCAGACTGTGATATGCAAAAGTCTGTATGGCAGCCATTGTATGTTGTGCCTTGTTTTTACTGAGTTATTCACCAAAAGCAAAGGCAGGCATTTGGGATGGCATATCGGGGTTGTTTCAACCCACTTTCTGCCACCTCCCAGCAGATACAGTGGTGCCTCGCAAGACGATTGCCTCGCAGGATGATTGACGATTGGTTTTTGCGATCACTGTTGCGCTTCGCAAGATGATGTTTTCTATAGATGATTTTTGCAAGATGACGAATTTACCCATTGGAACGCATTAAATAGATTTCAGTGCATTCCAATGGGGAATCGCGTTCCACAAAATGATGTTTTCTATGGATGATTTTCGCAAGACGATGTTTTTTCCATTGGTACACATTAAACAGATTTAAATGCATTCCAACGGGGAACCACGTTTTGCAAGATGATGTTTTCGCAAGACAGCGTTTTTCGCGGAACAAATTAAGATCGTCTTGCGAGGCACCAGTATAAGGCTGTTCAGAAACTTCATCAAGGTTTTAATCTTTCTGGGTATGATGACCAGGTAATAACTTAGCTTCTGCATCTATAAAAGCTGTTAGAAAACTCAGCTATGCTGTAATTTTAAAAAAATGTGTTGCTTTTACTCTTACATTGAGGGAAGGGCCTATTTTCCAGATACTTACAGGTATAATTTTGTCTTCTTTCCTTGGTAGGTGAGATAGAAGAAGAGGCTAAGAATAAGTATGCTTACCTCAACATTGTGGGCATGGTTGGTTCCATTGACAACGATTTCTGTGGTACTGACATGACCATTGGCACTGACTCAGCCTTGCACAGAATCATTGAGGTTGTGGATGCCATCATGACCACTGCTCAAAGGTACGTTGGCTTCTGAGGGTACTTTGAAAAATCCGCCCATCTTTACGAAGGCAAACGGTTCAAGCCAAAGCTACAGTTCACGTTTTCCCCCCTGCGGTTGTTTTATGAAATCCAAGGTGTACCAAAAATTCACTGCAACCTTCTTTCAAAGTTCTGCAGGAAAGTCATTTCCACCTAGCAGTCCTGGCCACATTATTATTATTTGTGTTGAGGCGGGTAACTATGTGAGATGCCAAAGATGAAGGGGAGTGTTGCCCTTGGTTAGCCATCTAGTCAACATCCCCTCTTTCTGTAACATTTAGCTGCGGAAATGTGTCCTGGCATCATCACTTTATGGGGTTTCCTTCCTTGTCTCCAATGGTAGCAAAGCAAAGGGGCAAAATGATAAGTGGTCTCATAATACATATATTGACTCCATTATAGGCAGGGTGGCCAGAATGCATCCATAGGCCACGTGCACGCTGGGGGAACCCAGGTCCATACCTAGTACCGTGGCATTCTCAGTCCCCCACATTCTCCCCAATCTCTTTTGGCAAATTGGCACACAAATCTTCATACCCTTTAGAGAGCATATTTTGCTGTGTTTTGGGACCCCATAGCACCTCTGAACCCCCAGACTGTGTTTTTTAAAACTTGATTTGGCCACTAGTGGGTATGGGATGGCCTTTTAAGTTATATTTTAAAGCCTTTTAAAAATGTTTAATAGGTGGGCATGTGAATGGGTGTTGCCCTCCAAAGTTCATGGGTGGGTGGGCATTGCCTTAAACCTCTGTAAGTTGACCTACTTCCATGTTACAGGGGGAGCTGGGGGAACTTGACCCAACGTTTTCCTTGCTGGCTGTTTCTTGTTCAGTGTCACACATAATTCTGGCCCTGCGAGTTATATGTAGCTCTTTAAGAATCCACATGGAAAATCTGACAGTCTTCAAGGAAGACATAGTTACAGATGAAAAACTTCTGGATGGATAGGACCTCTTTCTTTTGGGTTATGCAATACTAATGGTGTTCTGAGTCATGGGATGAATATTGCCTTGTTAAACTGATGGCCGCAGTTTGCTGGACACAGTGACTGTTGTGTTGTCTATTGACAACGTGTTGCTCTAGACCATAATCCACTAGGCTGGGAGTTCAGTTCCCCACTGTGTCTCCTTATGAGTAGAGTCAGCCTGTGTGGCCTTGGGCAAGATGTACCTGGAAGGTTTTGAGATGTCTCTCTTGACTGTGGTGTTCCTTCTTATACTTCTTAAACAGCTATTGGCTGGTTCTCTGGCTCTCCAAAGAAGTTCTTGTTGTTGCTTTTTTAAAATGAGCCAGGGTCAGAATATAATTTTTGAGTTTATTCATATAATGTTAAAGCACGTTTTAGAAAGGCAACTGAAATGGGTCTTAGTTTGCTTATATCCTGCAGAAGTTGGTGGGATGTATGCAGTCTCTGTTGGTTTGCAGCTTCTGGTGTTGTGTTAGCCAGACGGAAGTGACACTGCGGGAGCATTTGTGGATTCTCTGGAATGGCAGCTAAATCCTGTCATCACGTTGGCTGGTATTCGTCATGTCGTCAGGCCCATGAACTGACAGAGCAAGGGGGCGAGGGAACTGCTCCCCCCCCCCGATGGTTTTAATACCCTCTGCTTTAATCCAACCTGTGTTGCCTGGTATTTTGGTGCAAACAAGAAGCAGCAAAACACTCACTGAAATTTACTTACAGAGTTCTACGTAACCTAGCAATTTATCGAATACGTGAATCATCACAGGCAGTTACATAACCTCTGGCCTCTATTAAGTAACAGAGTTTTACTAAGAGTGAGCGTAGCAGTTTGCAGTTCTAATTCGGTGCAAAGAACGCTTCTTTGGTTCTGGTATAACGCCCGTCTGTTTAGTTTTCTACTGAAAACCAGAAACTAATTGGTTAAGGGGGAATGCGTTTGGCCCAGGTGAGAACATAAAAGCACAAGCATGCCCTTTAGAGCGTAAGGTTACTATGCTTTGTCTCTCTGTCTTTTTTCTTTTTCTGCACATTTTAATAGTATCTTGAGGCTGGTGTGTTGGCATTGATCTTTCTTATAATTTTTTTTTTAAACAGCCATCAGAGGACCTTTGTCTTGGAGGTTATGGGGAGACACTGTGGGTACGTATCCCTAAGAGTAACATTGGTTTGTTTGGTTTTTTTAAGATGCAGACATATATGCTACCAATGCTCATTTGGATTTTCTGGCTTGGTCTTAGGTACTTGGCTCTAGTTAGTGCCTTAGCTTGCGGCGCAGATTATGTCTTTATTCCTGAATATCCGCCAGAGGAAGGATGGGAAGAGCACATGTGCAGTAGGCTTTCTGAGGTAACCTTTTACTGCAGTGTTTTTTCTGCCCTTACGTTATGTCCCATTTTCTATTACCTCCTCCCCACATAACGATTCTGCACCAGTAATATGGGGCCTTCCGGTGTGGTGTAATGGATAGAGTGATATAGACTTGGATTCTGGAGAACAGGGTTCAAATCCCCATGTAAACTCACTGGGGGGAGTGGAACTGGTCAAACCACTCCTTAAGTATCTCACTTATCTCAAAAGCCCTACTGTAAGTCAGTTCTAACTTTACGATACAGAACACATACGGACAGTACAGTGGTGCCTCGCTTAACAATTGTCCCGCTCTACAACAAAATTGCTTGACAATTAGGTTTTAATCTTTAAGACGATGTTTTAAATGGTTTTTTTTCATTTAACGATGATTGGTTCCCTGCTTCGGGAACCGATTTTCGCTTCACGACGATCAGAAACAGCTAATTGTTGGGTTTCAAAATGGCCACCGGCTGCTTAAAATGTCTCCCCGCTGTGTTTTTGGATGGATTTCTCGCTTTACAGGCAGCGAAAATGGCTGCCCCTATGGAGAATCTTCGCTGGATGGTGAGTTTTCAGCCCACTGGAACGCATTGAGGGGTTTTCAGTGCGTTTCAATGGGCTTTTAAACTTTCGCTTTATGACGTTTTTGCTCTACAGCGATTTCGCTGGAACGAATTAACGTTGTTAAGTGAGGCATCACTGTATAGGCAGAACATATAGAGAGCCCACAACCTTTATATATCCTTGATCAGTCGAATAACTATACCACTTTGCAAGTTAAAAGGAAGACTGTTTGCACCAACATTAAATACTGCTACCCACTGCTTTTATAAGTTTTTAGGCTTCTAGACAGTCCATGTTTATATATCTGGTAAAGCTGACCGCAGTCCAGAAAGGTTTACATCAAGCAAGATGGTTAGACCTTGTGTGCCTTACACATTGTTCCTTGTGGTGTCGTTTTTGTACCAGAAATTACTAGAGGCCATGGAGCTTCGTCCTGGCCACTTCCTTTTCTCTTGCAACACATACACTTGGGAAGGTAGTAACAGAACCTCATCTAAATTGTGCTTTTTCTTAGAACAAGCCCCAGAATCCTCTGCTCAGGCTGTGTGGCGTAGCAAGGCCCACCAGCTGATTTTGAAGGAGTTCTATGGAAGCAGAGACCTTGACATGTCAGCCTTATTGATTTTTTCACACCCTGCAAATTAGACCGGTAGTGATCTAATGTGGAAGTCACTGTAGACTTTGTCTGTCTGTTCAAAATCACAAAACACAAGCTCAGAAGAGGTTCCCCAGTTTGATTCATGTCCATACTCCGAATGTTCAGAACCCATTTAGTAATTTTAGTAAACACAAACATGGAGTAATTTCAAGTAGTTTAAAAAGCTTTCTGTATATTACCTGAGTGCGATCTTCATCTGTTTGCTTGAGGTTTGGACTGTGTTAATGGTCTGCCTTGCATTTTTCTTGCAGAACCGTGCAAGGAAAAAAAGATTGAATATTATAATTGTAGCAGAAGGTGCCATTGACTCTCACAACAAAGCTATTACTTCAGAACAAGTTAAGGATGTAAGTATTAAACTTGTGTACCATATAGTTAACTGGGGATGTATGCAGCTGATCATATCTAGTGAGGGTATATACATGCAATTTAAAGGTTATATCAGTTCCTTTTGTACATCATTACCTGCTTGTTTTGCATCCTATAATTATAGCACAGCATTTGTAGGTAAGATTACAGCTGCGCTTCTGCCATTAGAAAAATGTTTCTCATTTTTAAAGTTTCTCAGAAGTATCTCTGTGTATGTAAAGCAACACACCAACCAAGAGGGAGAGGTCTTTAAAATGAAGGGAGAGATAATTTTTTCTGTTGGGGGCCAAATTCTCAGAGGCCTACTCTATCTGGGCCACGTTCTGGAGTCCGAGCCCATTTTAGATGGGGCTCGATCCCAAAGCAGGTGAGAATGTACCCTTTCTTTCTCTCTTTGCTACCTCTTTCTCTTTCCACTCACCTTCCCCCCCCCCCAACCTAACTGGCTGCTGGAAAAGTTTGATACCACGTTTTTGGAAGCTGGTTGATTTACAGAGGGCTTTAAAACTGAGGCAGAAGGCTGCACATGGTCTGAAAGCTATAGTTTTTAAACAAGCACTACTGGGTTAGAATAATGATGTTCTTTTTTATCCTACTATTGTCTTTGGATAAACTGGTTTTCACCTCTTTTTTCATTTATTTTTAAACTGTTCTCTCTCTCTCCTGCTTCAGTAAAAAGATTAGTTTTGCCTACCAGGGAATCTGGATTTATGATAGGCTTTTTGTATTGTAGACATTCTTAAAGGTTTAAGGCGGGATTTCCAGTCATTGTTCAGATGAAAGAATGCAGTAACGTTGGTACAGCTACTCTGCTGGAGTTTATGTGGTGTCCCTTAACGTGACATGTTGACTTTTTTGCAGCTTGTGGTGCAGCAACTAGGATATGACACTCGCGTGACTATCCTCGGTCATGTTCAAAGAGGAGGCACTCCTTCTGCTTTTGATAGGATTTTGGTAAGTGAAGGCAACCTATCAGTTTCAAAATACTAGGAGATGGCAGGAGATGACTGCCAGTTCGTTTTTGATTTGTGCTACATTGTACACTCAAGTTTGTCTTGTTGACTGTGGTGAAGGAAATGCTGGACTTACATCAATGAAGTTTACGTTAAAACTTGTCAGTCAACAGAGCTTGGGAAAATAACTCTTCTGGTTCCACCTAAGCCTAGGTTCCACCTAATCTTAGGCGTAGGTGGAACCAGAGCCTAAGATTTAATTTTAAGCATTGTAGGATTGCATAGTTGTGTTTCTGGTCCATGCTGACTCCATTTCTTCCTGTACATTGTGCATACATTCACAAGTGCACATGGTGATTCCCAAAGGGGTCATCCAGCACAGGAATGGACCATCGGTATCCCAAGAGGTGGATGATACCGAGGGCCACATGAAGCTGAGTTTAGAGCTGCATGTGGCATTCCCAGCACAGGTTCCTAAGTTTAAAATATAAAGGTTCCCCTTGACAATTTTGTCCAGTCGTGTCCGACTCTAGGGGGCGGTGCTCATCTCCGTTTCCAACCCATAGAGCTAGCGTTTGTCCGCAGACAATCCTCTGTGGTCACGTGGCCAGCGTGACTAGACACGGAACGCCGTTTACCTTCCCACCGAGGTGGTGCCTATCTATCTACTCGCATTTTTGCATTTTGCATGTTTTTGAAAGGAGATATGAACAGCATCCTTACAGTGAGATATAACCAGAAGTCTTAAGGTATAAGGGTCTCAACTTGTCTCCCCAACTGCCTGCTAGGTTTGGTTTTCAGAGCATGCAGTATATTTACTGATTATTTTACAGCATTCAGATCTTCCCAGGGCATATAGAAATAAAGAGTTGTCAGATAAATATGTAGATGAGTTCATGAATTATATACATCATTTATAAGAGTTCTTTGCTTTCTTATAAGTGGTTTGGAGAAGGAGGGTGTATTTGTGGTTATCGTGTTGCAATCATTTCACTTCTTTTTTCTACAGAAATCTGTAGATTCTTTTGAAATATATCAAAGTAATCATGTCCCCTTCAGAGCTTATTTCTTTACTTTAAAACTTCACACCCTTTCAGGCAAGTCGCATGGGGGTGGAGGCTGTTCTTGCTCTTCTGGAAGCCACACCTGAAACCCCGGCTTGTGTGGTGTCCCTGTCTGGAAATCAAGCTGTTCGCCTGCCTTTGATGGAGTGCGTGCAGATGGTGAGTGGCTGAACAGCATCCACTCTGTTAATTCATTAGCATTTTCTTGCTGCCAGCAGTCAATAGTCTGTTGTTCCTTGAAGCACATGGAACGACGTGAGTAGAACATTTAATCCACATTGGGCACAGCGAAGTCTAGTTATTTCTCTGCTGACAGTAGCTGGGCTTAACAACTGCCATGCAAAAGCCTATAGCAAACAGATTTCTTCTAAAATTCTATACGCCTTCTAAAATAATAATAACTTAATCTGGTGGTGGTCTTATACCTTTTTCATGGAATACAAGCTACCCACATTGAAACCAGTTGGCTAACCGTCTTTGCACTCTTGTCCACGATTAAATGGCTTAACAGTGGAATCCTGCACACACATGCACGCAGGATTGCATTTAAATACAGTGGTGCCTTGCTTGACGACATTAATCCATTCCAGCGAAATCGCTATAGAGCGAAATCGTCGTCAAGAGAAAGTAAAAAGCCCATTAGAATGCATTAGAAACCAGTTAATGCATTCTAATGGGCGAAATACCTCATCGTAAAGTGAAGATCCTCCATAGGGCAGCCATTTTTTGCTCACTGTAGAGCGAAGAATCCATCTCTAACACAGCGGGGAGCCATTTTGAACAGCGGGTGACCATTTTGGAAACCCAACGATCAGCTGTTTTGATTGTCATAAAGCAAAAAATCGGTTCCCAAAGCAGGGAACCGATCATCGTAAAGCATTTTTTTTTACTATCTAAACATTGTTTTGCGATTGCAAAAACCTAATTGTTAAGTGGATTCGTCGTGAAGCAGGGTAATCGTTAAGCGGGGCACAACTGTATTGTTGAAATGGCTAAAATGTTAAATGATTTGATTGCATGAACAAAAGTGCAGCCATTGTCAAGATATTGAACATAGTCATAATCTATTTTGATAGAAGCTATCATTGCATTATGTATGATCACCTATTCAGTCGGTTCAGTATCTGATAAGCTATTCTTCTGTTGTTGTTCATCTTTTCAAAAGACTCAAGATGTGCAAAAAGCCATGGATGAAAGAAGGTTCTCTGAAGCTGTCCAGCTCCGTGGAAGGTGCTCCATCATTCTCCATGTTGGCAGAGATTACTGTGTTGGCTTTTCAGAGGCAACTGGCAAATTGTTTTAAAGGATTAATAATTGTGTGTCATCAGGTCGATTCTGACTTATGGCGATCCTACTCAGGGTTTTCTAGGTAGTTGAGTACTCAGAAGTGATGTATGATTTCCTGCTTCTGGGGGCATCCTGGAACTGTGCAGCTTGCCCAAGGCCACACGGGCTAGCTGTTATTTTTTCATAGTCAAGTGGCATGGAAAAATAGATTTCTTTTAGCTTCTTTGTAAAAATATGAGCTACAATGATTATGCATTAAAAATCCAAAATTTGCATAGTTATGTGATTCTTTTCAGCCAGCTGTATGCTGGAGAAAGCACGAACGGCTATTTTTGTGGACTTAAAAATCCCATTTAATTAGAACTTCTGGCAGTCTTGCAGTGGAAGCTACGTTGATATGAATTGTGAGGATGCACCCTGTGGAGGGCAGGGAAACACATTCCCTGAAAAAGTTCCCTTAAAAATCCAGACTAGATCCTTTGCCTTTCGCAATGGTGTATGACTTGTGTTTCTTCTTCACAAATGCAAAGCTTAGCAAAGCTTGAATTTATTATTACGATATTGGTCCATTAGCTGTTTGTTATGGTATTTATTTATCATGTTACAAGTATGCAGAAGGGAAGAGTTTTGGCATTGCAGATCTCATCTTTGTTCATGTCAGAAGCAATCCATTGGTGCTTCAGGAGTGGGAGGATCAACTCAAGGGGCATAATCCTGCCCAAGAGATGCCCCAAAGTGTTTTATCTCTCTCCAACAGATTTAATGACTGTTCTTGTTTTAGGCCGAGGAGCCAAGGAAAAGGCAAAGATTTTGTTGTTGTTGCTTTATTGAAGCTTCGTATTCTATTTTATTTAGATCAGTTGTTTGATGCATTTCTTGGGGCCACTCTACTTATGTGATAATGCACAACCTTGACCAAGAACTAAAATGATCTGAATGATATAAAAACTGCAGTGTCGTGTCAGCCACTAAAAGCAGGCAAGGAAGATCAGACAGTCAAATGTCATCTCAAATGCATGAGAGTTGTAGTCCTTATAAAAAGGCAGGAGGCAAGATCTTCTAAGCTATGGCAGCCATACATACAGTATAGTAGGGCAGAGGGAAAGGTTTGTAGAAGGAAAGATTTCAAAGAAGCACGAGTTTGTTTATCCATTCAGTCTTTTTTATTTATTTATTTATTTTTATTTTTCCATTTTTTAAATTAATACAAAATAAACCTACTACCGCACAAAAAAACTATAAAACAATACAAAACAATAAAATACAATTACACATATGCTCCCATTACCTTCAGGACTAGTGTTACACTTCATTCAATCCATTTTCACTCCAAAATTTCATTGTTTCTTCCCTTGGTATTATACCCCTTCCCTCTCCGAAATACATGTTCCAAAAATACATTCCATATTTTCTTAAAATCATTATTTTTCAATTCGCCTCTTCTTATTTTCATATCACTTGTCAGTTTATCATTAATTGCCATGTCCCATAATTCTCTATACCATTCCTCCAAGTTAAATTGATTATCATTTCTCCAGTTTCTTGCAAAAATTAACCTTGCAGCCGTAATCATTATTACTATTAAATCCTTATTTTCTTTCAACCATTGATCTTTCTTAATCACATTCTATAAGGCCATTAGCGGAGACATTTGAATATTCAATCCAATTATTTCTGATATTTCTTTAAAGATTAAGTTCCATTCTTTCTTTCTTGTTTCATATAACCACCACATATGTAAATACATCCCCTTCTCTTTTTTACACCTCCAACATAATGTTGACACACTTTTATCCATTATATTCATTTTGACCGACGTTAAATACCACCTCCATATTACTTTACCCATTCAGTCTTGCTGAAAGCTAAATAAGGCAGGCAGTAGGAATAATAATTCACATTCCATCTCTCAATTTAACATTTTTTCCTTCCGTAGGAGTTTTCAGAACAACCTGAACACCTACAAGCTGTTGTCTACCAAAAAGCCAGCTGCTGAACTTCCCAAGGTACGTCTTGTATAACTGTTATTGAATTATCCAGTTCACTCCTTACTGTTGCATGTTTTGTTGAGCAAAAACATAGGAAAACAGATTGTTTAGAATTGGGAAGAACAGTCTCCATGGAAACGCCTCCATCCAATGTTGGTATACCTGATCGTTAGCTTGTACAGCGAGTTGAAACATGATAGATGAAGGTTTAACATTTGGATGTTCAGTAGGTTGCAATATACGTTGCCTAGTTTTATTATTGAAAGACCTCCTCTTAAAACTCCCAAGCCCAGTTTAGCCATTATAGAAGGTAGCTTCTTCAACATGAGCAGTGAGAGGCGAGCTGGCCCGTCTCTTCCATCTTCTTCCTGTGACCTATGGAGAGGTTGAAGAGGTGAGATTCCGACTCGTATAGGCTTTACATGAGAGCATGACCTATGGAACATATAGATTCTTGCACTTGTGGAGAGCCTTATGTGAGCAGCTGTATCTCTACTTCAGACTCCTTGCCTTTGTGTGGAGAAGAAGAGCAGGGCAGGTTTGGCTTCTCTCCTCTCACTGTGTTGAAGAAATTGTTGTCTGAATAAGGCTTTCATTTCTCAGATTGTGAACAAAACATCTAGCGATAATATTCCTGATATTCAAAGGTATGTCTGGTGTGCATATTTTATTTTAATGTATATACCTTCCTGCATTCTACAGTAAAGTACATGTTTCCTTATCCATATAACTGAAACAGCTGAATGACAATTTCCATAGTCGTCCACAAGTTTTATTCAAGTTGATATATGTTGGGCAGAAAGGCATATATTGATTCTGTATAATAGCAAGATTACTTGATAATGTCTGTAGCTACAGTCTGCCTTTTAAATCTTTCTGTTCTCTTTAACAGGATGGTATCTTGTGTAATACATGTAAATAAATACATTACGAAATAATTAATCCAAGCAAGTTCTTCTACTTGCTAGGTTTTGAAAGTATGCTGTTATTTTTGCATGGAAGGCAGTCTGGCTATACATGTATTTTATAGCTGTGCATTCCTTAGCTTAATGCTGAGTAATAAATAAATATGCTCAGGCCTTATGCTTCAATTTTTTTTGCCAGTCTTGATTTACATCAAGCGTTCCTCTGCAAATGCTTTACTAGGGTGCTTATTGCATGTAGCTGAATATGCAAAAGTTTTTAATATTCTTTAGAAAATGTGAAGTGTGCCAATTGGCCAAGCTGTTTCAGCAGCTTCCAGAATGCCCCACCCATTATGGTCCCTGACTAAGCTTGCTGTAGATGTTTCGGTGTCTTAATCAAAAACAAAAGGAGAAGAAGAAGATGATGATGGAGAAAAAGTCCAAACCCTAGTCTCTGACAATAGATAGAGAGAGAGAGGGAGAGGGAGAGGTAAATCACGTTAAGTATTGGCTGAAAGAGGTTTATGTCCCTCATCTTCAGTTTTACTGATTTACGCAAGTGGGCTTAGGCAAATATGGTCTTCTAAAAATGCCCCTTGCCGCCTCATAAGAGCCTCCTTGTCAGGGTGGACCTATTACCGGATTCTCCAGTTCAGCTACCATTTTTGTGATACAAGGCGTTGCAATGAGCATGGGAAGTTGTGCTGCATTGTTCTATTCTCTGTTTTTGAAGAGTTGTAAGAGGCTGTACTGTGAAAAAGCCTTGATAGTTGCTCATTTGGGCCTCAGAATCTGTACATTTTATGAAAGTTCCAGTTGTTTCAGCAGCAGGTTCAGCAATAGAATAATTGGAAGGCCTGTGAGAGAGTGGAAGAGGTGAGGAGGCCCAGAATCTCCAGCGCCTCATAAGAGCCTCCTTGTCAGGGTGGGTCTAGTTCAGCCACCATTTTTGTGATACAAGGCGTTGCAATGAGCATGGGAAGTTGTGCTGCATTGTTCTATTCTCTGTTTTTGAAGAGTTGTAAGAGGCTGTACTGTGAAAAAGCCTTGACAGTGGCTTTAGTTGCTCATTTGGGCCTCAGAATCTGTACATTTTATGAAAGTTCCAGTTGTTTCAGCAGCAGGTTCAGCAATAGAATAATTGGAAGGCCTGTGAGAGAGTGGAAGAGGTGAGGAGGCCCAGAATCTCCAGTGAGCTGCTCCCATCTTAATTCCTAGCATAAGCATCTCTCTCAGTAAGGATGTCCATGTCCAGGATTCTCCATGTCTTCTGAAATACAGTGGTGCCCCACATAGCAAGGTTAATCCGTTCCGGATTAACCGTCGCTATAGGGAAACATCGCTATACGGAATGGAAAAACCCATTGGAACACATCAAACTTCGTTTAATACGTTCCAATGGGGCCAAAAACTCACCGTTCTACGATGTTTCCCCGATCCGGCTGCCATTTTCGCACCTTTGGTAAGCGAGGGCAGGGCGCGAAAATGCTGCGCACGGCCATTTTGGGTGTCCAGTGGCCATTTTGGAACCGCCGATCAGCTGTTTTTAAAAAATCACTATGCGAAAATTGGTAAGCGAAACGCTTACCAATCATTGCAAAGCGATTTTCGGCCATAGAAAGCATCGGTATGCAATCGCATTAGCGATCCCAAAAAATGGATCGCTATGTGAATTCGTCATTAAACAGTGCGCTCGTTGTGCGAGGCACCACTGTAATTTGTGAAGGAGGGGATGAGGTCTCAGTCCATGGGTTGAAGCAAGGCCAAACCACAGGCTTTTGCTCTGAAGGTGTCATATGACTGAAAGGTCTTTCAAAAATACATTGCTCTATCCATCCTTCTCTCATCCACACAGTTTTATGTGTGCAGGACTATAGATACATAGAGCTGTAGAAACATAGGGAGGGAGGAACTTGTAAGGTATTCCTCTTGCTGAACCTGCTGTCACTGGGAAACTGCAGTGTGTTGGCTAAGAGAGGACTTATTTCCTCCTTTGGAATCAGGATGTAATGGGAGTCAGTTGTTATTGGAGGAGTGGAATTGTGGTCTCCTCTGGTTTACTGAGATCCATAACTAAGTGCTTGAAAGGTGCGTCAAAGTCTTATTGTCTTGCATCTCAAAGCAGGTGGGAGACATTATGATCAATAGTACCCTAAGACATGATAGTGCTTATTCCCTGGGCCATCACAGAATGTTGTGTGACATCACACTTAGATGCAATGGCTCAGAGCACAGTCTCGCTCACGAGAGTGTTCTGCACATAATTGCCTATTTATATTTCTTTGATAAAGATCCTCTTTTTTGAGTGAAACTGTTTCGGCAGCTAATGCATGGTTTGGTTTGAGGTGGTGGTTGTTTTACATTGGTTTGTGGGTGGAGTACAGACCAGACAATTCAATGCATGGTGTCGTCAACTGGATGCAGTGCTGATTGTGATCGTAAAAGCCTCATAAATGCGAAGGACTGGCACTTAATCTGCAATGAACAAGCTATGTTTTGGTTACCTATTATTTGGCTTTACGCTGTATTTATTACATTTTATACGTGATTGCCTTCGAAAGGTAAGATGCGTGCCCTGCTTTCATTTGATGCAGTCTTGTGTACTTACCACTGTAGATAACAACTAGACAAGAAGTATACTAAAGCTTTACAATTTTTATTATTTATTTGTGAATTAATTAATTAATTAATGTACTGTATCTCTGTGTTCTGGATCTCTGTACTCAGAGACCAGCCTTTGGAGAGGAAAGAATGGTGGAACAATGAACAATTAAAACTATCATGTAATCTTTTTGCAAGCAAATATATGGAATATACCTCTTTAAAAGGCTGATACAAGAATTTCACCTGTTTAACACTGGGTCTATTAAAATTTGAAAGTAGACCCCTTAAGGAAAAAAAAGTGCTTCTGCTCAGGCAGAAATCCTGCTGAGTAACTGCAAGTGTAAATGGTAAATGGTATCATCAGCCCATGATGTTACTTTTTAATTGAATTGAATCAAAAGTTTCCTATCCACCCCCCCCCCCAAGGTTCTGGGGCTCTCTAGGGATCACTTTTGGCTTGGGGAAAACTTTTGGATGAGGACCAGGAGTCTTTCATATTGGAAAACTGGCACCATGAGAAGTGGGATTGCTGGTGGTGATCCAGTAACCATTTCACAGTACAGTCATGCCCCGCTTTACGATTATCCCATTTAACGATGAATCTGCTCGATGACAATGTTTTTGCGATTGCAAAACGATGGTTTGAATGGGTTTTTTCTGCTTTGCGATGATCGGTTCCCTGCTTCGGGAACCAATGTTCGCTTTACGACGATCAAAAACAGCTGATCGTTGGGTTTCAAAATGGCCACCGGCTGTACAAAATGGCTCCCTGCTGTGTTTAGGAGCCATTTTTCGCTTTACAGGCACCCGAAAATGGCCGCTCCTGTGGAGGATCTTCCCTGGACGGTGAGTTTTCAGCCCATTGGAATGCATTGAACGGATTTCAATGCATTTCAATGGGCTTTTTTATTTCGCTTTGCGACATTTTCGCTCTACAGCGATTTTGCTGGAACGAATTAACGTCGTTAAGCGAGGCATCACTGTATTAAGGGCGTCCCTTCTCTTCTCATCTCAAGACTCCCAAAGACGTCCCCAGGTCAAAAGGCATCGCTAGAGCACTTGGAACCTTGCCGACTGATTAGGTCATTGCCACTTACACTTGCATAGTTGAGCCAACTGGATTTCACAAAATTGTTTTAGATCTTTGAGTATATGATCTTCCTTCCTTCCCTCCCTCCCTCGGCTCACACAAACATCACCTATGTGCATTGTATGATGGAATATGTTTTTCCTTGTCTTTCAGTCGAACTTCAACGTAGCTGTTTTAAATGTGGGCGCTCCAGCAGCGGGAATGAATGCCGCTGTACGCTCTGCCGTGCGAATTGGCATCACTGAAGGACACAGAATGCTTGCGGTCACTGATGGCTTTGAAGGCTTTTCTAGAGGGCTGGTTAGTATGGTCCAAATACCAAAGTCTTTTATCATCATTCTCTGGGGCATATCTAGAATTAAATTTATTTTAGCTTGTCTTCTGGCTGCAGTACCAGGGCACCAAAGCAGCTTAAAATTCCATTTTTAAAGTTAAGAGGCCAGAATCCTATGGCTCATCTATGCTTCCGTAAGTGGAACTGCAAATGTCTTGGTGGGGCATTGCCATTGATGGGTGTTTCCTTGGACTCATCTTTCCCTGTGCAGTTGGGTACTGAGTGGGACTTTGTGGCCGTGACTTACGCAATTTCCAAGAGCAAATCAGCAAGAGGATTCGGACCATCATTTCTTACAGAATTAAAACCAAACAAGGCTAGCGTTCCCACCACCTAAAGCAACATATATGGGGGGTGGGGAACCTCATTGGCTGGACCATCTGCAGCATTTAAGCACGAGATGGATGAAATTTGTTATGAGGGGAAGATGTTTGATGTGCCCTTGGAACTGGGTGGACAGAGTATGACATATGGGCCTACAAAGGTCTTTACACCCTCAGCTTAAAAAAAAAATAATAAAAAAGGTCCCTTTGCGAGGAGGGGCTCCATACATACCCCAGGTTGGGTTTTTTTTGGGGGGGGAGCTCCAAGTAAGGGGTGAAATTGCCTGTACCCCCAACTGGGTGCAATTGGCCTTTTCAAAGGGAAAATAAGGTGTTTTTGTCAGAGCAGGGATGGTTGTGGCCCTCCAAGGTCCAGAGGGGAGACCACACAATTCCTGGACCTCTGGAAGATGCTCATGACTGGCAACATAAAACAACAAGGAGCAGCCAGTTCCTTAATAATATAGGTGGAATTATACTGCATCTCACACAAAAGGGATTCTAGAAAACTGAGTTCACTAGGAACTATTTCTAAAGCATTCGTATTGTTTCTGCCCCCGTCTTCCTGGAAAAGAACCCTGGAAAACGTTTCATCGTCACTTGAATTGTGTCTTGTTTTCTTTTCGTCCTGAAACAAAGGGCACGGAGACTTTTTCACAGAGAGTGGGATTAGCCACGTTTATTTTTTAAAAACGCATTTGCTGGGTATCTCATGAGAAATTCTCCGTATCAAATCCCATATGTTTCCTGTGAGGGCACTTTTTAGGTGGACTTGGCAGGAAGCCACATTTGTAGCATTTCTCCAGTCCTGAAATAACTCAGGGAGTATGAAGTGTCTAGAGATAAGAACACAGGCTAGATAACTAGAGGCAAAAGGCAGTTCTGTCGCTCAGTCTGTTGTCACATTTGTTTTTTTGTTTTTTTCCCATGGAGAAAGTGTTCCTGAAGTACAGTTTGTATAGGGTGGCCAGTGCTTAGGTTACTGTCGTTATGCGTTTATAAGCCAACACACTTTTATTTGTAAAATACTCAAATGGCTTGCCGTTTAGCCAAATGGCAACTGGTTTAATTTTTTTTCCAGAAGGGTTTCTTTTCCTTTTTACCACATTTTTAACACTTAGCAGGATGGTTGGATCCCATCGTCCTGCATCCAGACAATTTTTTTCACCTCAAGAACTGTTGTATAAAATTATCTGAGGAGGGTGGAGGTCTCTCTCTTCCAGTATTCTGCAATCTGTCACTGTTCCCCCTCCAAAGAGGAGACATACATGGTTTTGTGTAACTGTTTTTGGTAGGAGTCTGC